TGTTGTTCCAGTTCCAGGGGATCTGGCACCCTCACACAGACATACAAGCCTGCAAAACACCAATGTACACAAGATCAAAATAAATCATTAAGAAAAAACTTAAAATAATAAGAAAGGAGTGTCGTATGAAAGATAAAAATGAGGGCTGGAGAGATGGCTCAGAGGTTGAGAGCACAGACTGCTCTTCCAGAGGTCCTGAGTTCAGTTCCCAGCAACTACATGGTGGCTCACAGCCATCTGTAATGAGATCTGGTGCCCTCTTCTGGCCTACAGGCAGGATACTGTATAAATATTATTCCATCTGGCTTTTATATACTTACTTATATTATAGATGAATATGTGGCCATATATTATATAAAACTTTCTGAGCCAATCAAGAGTAAATTATAGACACCAAACCCCATCAATATACCTTGGAGCAGGAAACAAGCCAATATTCTGCACAACCCTCCAAGAGTGGAACCAGGAAGTTCACACTGTTACAGTCGTACTACTAATTAACCAGGAAGCCAGCCACGTCATGGCGATAAAATAAGGGAGAGAAACACCTTGGAAGAGGAAAGAGCCAATTTGGCTCACACTTTCAGAGGTCCAGACCATAGTCACATGGTCTCATCACTGTGGGCCTGAGGCAGAGAGAGTGAGACAGGGTCAGAGATACAAACGCATTTCAGAGAACATCCTCATGGACCCAGTAATACTTCCTCCAACCCTCGCCCCAAGTGCATTCAGCTATGAACTGACCAATGGGAGAACCCATTGATGACTAGCATCCCCATGATCCAGTCACTGCTCAGAAGCATCACTAGCCAGGGGTCAAGCCCCTAACACAAGCGCCTTTTCACTCATTCTTCTGGAATTTGGGGTTTTCAGCCATTTTTGTCCTGATTACATCTCTGTCTTTGTGACTTAGACCTCCTTCCAGATTCTCCTCTCTGATGGGAGAATCTACCCAAGCCTTGGGTAGTCCTGCGTGCCCTTGCTAAGAACGATAAGTCTTGCCAAGCTAATCATATGGTGAATGAGTAGATGGGGCACCCAGTGTGTGATTGCTGGACCACGGCACATTCCCAGGGAAAAAAACTGGTGTGTTCACTAAATGCTGAAAGAGTGATAGGCCTTTGCCTCTGCGTTCAGCAAGGATGCACCCCCCCCATTCCTATACAGCCTGCATATAGGCCAGCTATATCCCCCACAAGGCTTGAAGAGGGGAAAATGGGCCGTGGAATGTCTTTCCATTAGGAAGGAAGGTCACTTAAAGTCCTCTGGAATAGTCGATAATTACACTGCCCTTCGGATCATGTTTCCTGTGCTAGGTTCCTGGATAACGATCAGTGCTCTGCCGAAAGTGGTGGGATGTGTCTGTAATCCTAGCACCCGGGGGAGGGGGGGCGGCTGAAGGAGGAGGACTACCTTGACTATGAAGCCAGCCTGGACTGCAGTGTAAAAGCCTTAATACAGACTGTAACCTCCACTGGCTGCTGTTGTTTTGTTATTTGCTAGTGTCTGTAGCCCAGGCTGGTCTCAGATTCTAAGTGGAATTCCTCAGCTTTCTAAGCACGGAGACTGCGGGTGCGAGCCACCACGCCTGACTTCATGCCTGACTCTAAGCCAGTGTCTAGTTTGCCTGATCACAGAAGACCCACTCCAGACTTCAAGACTGTCCTTTGCATGATGCCTCTTTTCCCTACCCTTTCAATTCCAGTCTGTTTCTTCACATTCATAGTGGTCTCTTATAGACAAGTCGGACTTGCTACATATTTGACAATGGCTCAAAGCTCCTGATTCTCTGCCTCCACTTCCTGAGAACTGAGATAGATTACAGGTGTGCACCACCACGCTCAGCTTTCTTCTTGCTTTGCTCCCACTCTTCCATTAAGACATCCAGGATTCTCTGGCTTTTATTTGGAATTCATCAGCAGGAGCTGAGTTGATCCAATGGCTGATGATGTCCCAGGTAGACAAAGTGCTTGTGGATTTTTTTTTATTTAAATATTATTGTTGCTAGGGGTTGAAGCATGAACCTTGCTGGGTTATTATGTTCATTTGTTCTTTTTAAAAATGTATTTATTTATTATGTATAAAATACTCTGTCTACATGTATGCCTACAGGCCAGAAGAGGGCACCAGACCTCATTACGGATGGTTGTGAGTCACCATGTGGCTGCTGAGAATTGAACTCAGGATCTTTGGAAGAGCAGGCAATGCTCCTAACCGCTGAGCCATCTCGGCAGCCCTTCATTTGTTCTTTTATGATGCATATCTACCTCCTAGGAATATGACAAACTGGATTTTCTCAGCATTTGGGCAAGTGAGGTACCCTTTGGGCCTTCATCCAGAGTCACTTGCAGGGCCTCTGCTCCAGGCAGGCTCTAGGAGCCTGTGAGAGGATAGAGCAGGGCCTTGGGTCATAAAATGCTACCCCAACTCCCTACTGCAACTCAGCAAGCAAGGTCTACATGCCCTTCAGCTGACACAGTGAATACATTGGTGGAGACAGGTTAGGAATACGGATATGCCCATGCAGGTAGAAAAGGACTCAGGACAGTTGGTGATGTTCTGACGTAGTCCAGACAGAAGTGACTGGACCGCTGCTCTCGGTCCACGAAGCCACGCATTCGCAGGAACAGGAATGTCATCTGGGCTGTTTGGGAAACCACAAGTAGTCTCATGTGGCAGTAGCAAGGTGTACGAGATAAGTGGTCATCTAGAATGGTGGAGGGGGTTGGCACCTGGTACCCAGGGATAGACGCCAGGTCAACAAGTGCTGGGCACCTGATCATACTGTGCCTGCCTGGCCCCTAAAGATGTAGTCCTTGGAAAAACAAAACCATGGTCCAGTGAATCTGGAAGATGCCGAGTCGAAGCTAAACAGTTGTGGGCAAGATGGCCTGCGAGTTCTCCATGGGTTCTGGGAATCCAAACTCAGGCCCTCATGCCTACATGGTAATTGCTGACCCCATTGGGTCTTCTCACTGGCCCAATTAGATATTCACCTAGACATCCATCCAGGGGAAAATGAGGAGAGGTAAATTATGAGCAATTGTGGACAAGGAGATCAGGCTGAAGTTGTTGTAGTCACCCTGGATAGAAGATAGTCTTCATGGGCTGTTGGGGGCTCAGAGGGCATCATAGGGAAGCTGGGATATTTGTAAGCTCCCTGGCTTCTGGCTTAAGTCATACCAAATCTTTCTTTGACTAAACTGGTATCCAGCTCTGTGCAGTGACTGTATTTGGCAATGGAAATAATCCTGTGATGGTTCCCAGAGCGAAATTCCAACAGAGAGTAGTATTGCTGAGTTAAGGGTGAGCAGGGAGGAAGGCAAAGCAATCAACTAAGTCTTCTCTTGAACGAGGTGTGGGGTGAATAGAAAGCAAGACAGCAAATGTGATCATTTTCTTATGTGGTAACTAATATACAAGGCTGAGAGCTTAGCTCAAAGTTTGAGCATTCACTTAGCATATACATACAAGGCTCTGGATGCAATCTCCAGCACTAGAACACACACACACACACACACACACACACACCCGTATGCCTCAGTCATCAAGACCTGCCCTGTGGATTCAGTCTTCCAAATAGCTTTCCCATCTCTTTTCCCGCTCCACTGCTACTCATACACACACACACACACACACACACACACACACACACACACACACACACACACACACTGTTACCTGACTCCAACATCAGCCCCTAAGTCTCTCCTCCTCACTCCAACCCACACTTTTCTTCAGGATCTTGGCTGTCTCACCCAGTCACTTTCAAAGACTACTTGGCATTATTCGTTGTCTTTGTGGGGTTTTGAAGTCCTATGGAAATTGATCTCTCAGTTTAGTTATAAGCCAGACTAGTGTGTGCTTGAGACACAACTGAAAAATTACATCAAGAATCTAATTGATATTTAAAACTTGAAAATATCACAGCAAGATTATTTTGGTGGCCATCACACATTTATTTGGAATTTTATTTTGAATCCACATTGGAGAATCCTTAATTGGTCAAAACCTTCACGTAGCATACTGCCCATTGGATCCTTTACGCCATAAAGGTTCTCAACCTTCCTAACGCTGAGGACCCTTTAATACAAATCCTCATGTTGTAGTGACCCCCAACCATAAAATTACTTTCGCTGCTACTTCATAATCGTAATTTTGCTACGTCCTAATGTACGTAATTTTGTGAATCCTAATGTAAATATCTGTTATTCTACCCATGTCTGTGGTTGAAAACCACTGTTTTAATGTCTCTCTCCTGGCAGCCCCTCCAGCAGCCACACTTTGCCAGCAATCTCCAGTTCCACTGTTGTGCGACCCGACGTAAGGTGTTTAAGTTCTTGTACCTCCGTTTCCCTCCTCCGGATTGCCGAAGAGTCTGTCCCGGGTTTGTTCAGAGGCTGTGTCCTCAGGGTCTGGTAGGAGCAAGCGGAAAGCCGGTGACCGAGGGCTTTAGAACGCGCATCAGAGGGAGGCTTCCGGGCTGCGCTCCCAGGACAGCGGGGAAGGAGCCTGGCAAGCGAGGAACTGGGAAGTCCGGGCCGTGACTGCTTCTGGCAACGGAATGTGCCCCACCCTCGCGGCATGGCTGGCATCTGCTCGGCCCCGACGGCCAGAACTATGGGCGCGTGCGGAGACGCATGACTCTGGGTCCTACCACAGCTCCCTGACTCAGGATCATCTCCAACGCTGAACGACCCGCCCCACATGGAACTACACGGCCCAGGGCGCAGGTGCCTCCTTCAGAGACCCCGAGGTCTCTGCGCAGAGCCCGGCGTGCGCCCCGGCTGGCAGCTGGATGGGAACCCAGGACGCCCCTGATGGCCTCTCCCCGAACCCATCTTCCTGATACCCACTTCAGGGTCGCACCCATTGCTCCCACCACCCAGGGCAGCAGTAGCGGTACAGACAACCAGTGGACCCGGGTCCGTCCTCGGGCCCGCCCCCGAATCCCCATTGGGTTGGTCCAGGCAGGGGCGGGGCCGAGGAAGAGCTCCTAGGTCAAGGCACCCGAAGGCAAGTCGTGCTCCCGACATTCGCGGGTCAGCGCCCCGGGAGCCCACGTTGCTCTGCCGGTCCTTCAGACTCAGCGATAGCCTGCCGAGCGCGTGGTGCTCAGTCATTGCGGAGCTACCAGCGATAGCTGCGAACTCAGGGGATCCTCTGTGCCATCCGGTCCCCGCCGTCGGGGCGTCTCTGGATGCGAGTCCCCTGAGATGGCTTCGCGCAGCGGGCTCCTCTGGCTGCTGTGCACGGCTCTGTGTGCTTTGGGCGGCTGTCACGGCCCGCGTCCCCCGTACGTCTTTCCCCAGCGTCGCCTGGGAGTACACGAGCGCCGAGATCTGCAGCGAGAGATCCTGGCGGTGCTCGGGCTGCCTGAGCTGCCCCGACCCCGTGTGCCACCCGCTGTCTCCCGACAGCCAGCGTCCGCGCCGCTTTTCATGTTGGACCTGTATCACGCCGTGGCTGATGGCAATGACGACGGTGTGCCCCCGCAGCCCCACCTGGGGCGCTCCGACCTCGTCATGAGCTTCGTCAATATGGGTGAGTGAGAGACAGGAGGGCCCGGGTGGCTGCAGTCTCCACGTGGAGAGCGCATGGCCACCTGTCTGGGGATAATGTTCCTAGTCACCTGTGTGGTCCTCCAGGAGTGTGAGGCCCTTGAAGCAGGGAAACACGGCGCAGCAGAAACGACCAAGGGGAAAGCAGGGACGACAGGGGTCAGGACTGGAAGGTCGGAGGGCTATCGCGGATTCCCCGGGCCTTTGCCCACCAAGGCGCCCAGGAGTGGGAATCTGGTGATGTCCAGGTCCCCCTAGGCCCAGGTCCTGGAAAACAGCTGGTCCTGGGAATGCTGATGAGTAAACAGAGGGCTATGGTACTGTCCCTGTGATAAACGCAGCCCTCAAGAGAGGGGCAAAGTTCAGTGTGGAAACCTGTGGTCATATCATCAGAGTGACCAGAGCTGATCCTCACGCCCTGACGGCAGGTTCTTTCCGTGTAGCAGGAAGTGGGTGGATGAAGTACACTGTCAGGAGGTGGAGTGGACAGACTCAGACCGTGACTTGTCTTGTGGGCTTGGGCCCCACAGCTGGCTCTGGACTTGGCAGAGAGTGAATGTCCAGGCCAATGAATGACCCAAGGGGAGGCTGTGACACTCTTCAATCTCCCAGAGTGTGGCTCCCTTCTCTAGGTATCTCTTGACCTCAGGACCACTTTCTCCTTCTAGTCTTAGCGGCATTTTCCCCAAAGCCTTTTATCTGTAACCACAAGTATTTACTTTTGGTCAGGTCCCGTCTCCCCCGTCCCACTCCCCCCCCCCCAGTCCCGTCCGCTGTCCCTCCTCCACCCTGCTTTGCTTCTGTCTGTGACAGGCAGCCTGGGCTGCAGCAGACACTAGGCTGGGACTGGTCCTAGGCCTTGGCCTGAGAGCAGGGGAAGATGGACCTTGCCGTTGCCACCAGTCCCTTGCACCCACTCATCCTTCGGGGGCACGCGGAACAGGCCAGGGCAGGGAGACACCAGGAGTCTGGAAACCACCTGAGAAAGGCCCAGGCTGCATGGCTCTGCATCCAGTGCTCAGGTTTTGACATACTTTCCAGGGCGAGAAGAACTTTGTCAGCGGAGTGTAAGGGGCAGCAGCAGGTTTATGGTGCCATCAGCTCCTTGTTTCCTACCCGGAGGTAGGAAAAGGGGACACAGTCAAGTAGAGACTCTCCCGTCCCGTGGTTGCTGGTGGCTAAAGTGGGGGCGAGCACAATGAAGGACAAGATAGTCCTTAGCCAGCTCCGAAAGCCCACAGCCAGCAGAGCACTGCAGCCAGTGGGCTCTGGATACTGCCTTCCTGCTTCAAGACCGGGCTTAGGTACTTAAGACTGACCACGTGTGGCTCTCCAGCCTCAGGAAGGCTGACCAAGGGTGCAGGAATAGACAAACTGACGAGAGAGTTGTTCAAGAATGTCCCCCCCCCCAGGAGAACCTCTGATCAAAAGGAGTCACCACCCAGCCCATGCTCTCCTCCCCTCCCCCTCTGGGTCAGCCTGAAGAGCCCCGGTGGGAACTGTCGCCGTGAACGGAGCAGTAGCCAGTACTGCAGTGCTCGCTTCCCCCTGGGACCCCTAGTAAATCCCTAGAGATGGCAAATGGATGAACAGAAAGCCAGGGGAGGCTGGACCAGGGCCAGTGCCCGCTGATCCTCATCGCTGGTCCTCATCCCCGCTACCTGCATCTCAGTTTCGCACAAACAACAGCCAAATTCTCAAGTGAGCTAAGCATGGTGACTTGGGCTTGTAATCCCAGCACTCGGGAGACTGAGACAGGAGGATTGCTACAGCTTCAATCCTCCAGAGTCTGGGCACCAGAGTGAGTCAAAACACGTGTATAAACACAGAAAGAGGGCTTAAGGTAGGAATTTCCATATGTCTGTGTCTTCTGCACATTTAAACCTAGGAATGGATTCTAAAAGCCAAGCCAAAGCTGTGTGTTCTGTGTTTAGGATTTCTTTTTCCAGTCCGAAAGATCTCTGGCCTTTTGCGTATTCTTCCATCCGTTATTGGCCACTAGCAATAGCACACAAACTGCGTGGGAATCCCTGCTTTATGGACTCGGGTTAAATGGCTAGCCCAGGCCCACACAACATGTCTAAGGCCGCATCCATAGTTATGGATTTTGAGTTGTGTTTCCTACCATGTCACATTTCCCCCATTATTGCCCGAGTGTCCCAGTAGGATCTGTGGAATTAACAAGTAGGCTTTTGATTGGTGCAGACTCGCTGTAGGTAATCTGTCAGAATGCTTTTTTTGTTTTGATGCGCTGACCACTCTAGTAAACTCTTCCAGCTAGAGTGATTTTTTAAAATTTATTTATTTATTAAAGATTTCTGTCTCTTCCCCGCCACCGCCTCCCATTTCCCTTCCCCTCCCCCGGCCAAGTCCCCCTCCCTCGTAAGCCCAAAGAGCAATCAGGGTTCCCTGCCCCTTGGGAAGTCCAAGGACCTCCCACCTCCATCCAGGTCTAGTAAGGTGAGCATCCAAACAGCCTAGGCTCCCACAAAGCCAACACGTGCAGTAGGATCAAAGAACCCATTGCCATTGTTCTTGAGTTCTCAGTAGTCCTCATTGTCCACTATATTCAGCGAGTCCGGTTTTATCCCAGGCTTTTTCATACCCAGGCCAGCTGGACTTGGTGAGTTCCCAATAGAACATTCCCATTGTCTCAGTGTGTGGGTGCACCCCTCGCGGTCCTGAGTTCCTTGCTCGTGCTCTCTCTACTTCTGCTCCTGATTTGGACCTTGAGATTTCTGTCCGGTGCTCTAATGTGGGTCTCCGTCTCTGCCTCCTTTCATCGCCTGCTGAAGGTTAATATTCAGGAGGATGCCTATATGTTTTTCTCTGGGTTCTCTTTCTTATTTAGCTTCTCTAGGATCACTAACTATAGGCTCAATGTCCTTTATTTCTGGCTAGAAACCAAATATGAGTGAGTACATCCCATGTTCCTCAGCTAGAGTGATTTTAACCAGGCTCCACATCAGACCCGAATGCCTTCTGTTGGCAAGCCCAGGTCTGAGCCTGAAGGTCAGGGTCACTGACAGCAGCAGCATCCCAGGGTGGCAATGGTTGTGACCCTGTGGGGCAGCGTGACAGCAGAGTCCTGTCCCTCATGTTCCTGTGCTCAGAGAAGGGAGAGCCCCAAGCTAAATTAGTACTCTCAGCACCGGACCCGACTCTTGTCCCCTCCCGGTCCACCCTCAGTCCCTGCTGGTTTCTGCCATGCGTCCTCCCTTCTGTGGGCCTCTGCTTCTGTCCGTGTCTGCTGTGATAACATCAGAAAAACGATTTGCCTCCCAGCCCTGATCCTTGCTTCTGTTTCTTTGGCACCTGCTGGCCTCACAGCTCCATTCCTGGGCAGGGTAGCCTCAGGCCCTCCTGTCCTTCCCAAGGGTGAAAGGAGGCAGGAAGGACGACAGCCCTGCCTGCTCACGTCTGTAAACAGGCAGGCAGCTCTATTCTGGATGGGGAAACTGAGGCACAACCATCACCAACAGGCAGAGCCCAGCAGGACCACATGGAGCCATCTGCACATGCATCAGCCCCTTTCCCAGCCCAGGAGTTTTTCTTCCCAGGGCCTCAGAAGGCTGAGGGCAGGGGCAGCAATGAACTATGGGGACCAGATCTGAGGGCACAAGAGACCCGGCCTTGGTCCCGCTCTGTCCCTGCCAGCCGTGTGACCTTAAGGGTGACACTTTCTCACCACTGACCTTGGGGTCACTTCTTTTGGTCCTTTGCCAGGGAATTCCTTCATTTCTTCACTCCCTTGCTCATTCATTAATTCATTCCTCCTACAAGTAATTGTGCGGTACTTACTATGTGCCAGACTTGGCTCCTGGTTCCAGTTGCTGGGGAAGTCACACTGAACAGGCACTGCCTGTGTCCTTTCAGAGATGACCTTCCAGTGGGGGAGATGATACATGTGTCATGAAGGTGGTTGTCAGGGATGCCGTATACCCGCCACACCCCCAATTCGGAAACAGGAGGACCTGAGAAGGGCTGGGTCGAGGGGCTTCCAACGTGGGACTCACACAGAGAATTCCTATCTTGACGCCATGCCTACTCCCACCGTGATCTGGCCTTTCCTGGCTCCCCTCTCTGAGCCTCAGTTTCCCCTTCTGTGAAATAGAGGTACTCATCTTTAAGGGGCTTCCGGGGCCGAGTGAGAAGACAGCAACACCGACCACACGGCCAGACCTCCACATCTGTCCCCGCATTTGCATGCACAGTGCTGGCTCAGGCGAGCGAGGCTCAGAGAAGGCTGGTGATATTCCCAAGGCCACACAGCAGTTCGTCTGCACCCTGTGCTTATGCCCTCAATGTAGGCTCCATGCCTTCATCCTTGGCCGGGGGTCTGTCCTGTCCCTAGGCGCTGTAAGAGCTATTGTGTAAGTCTAAATGTGAGTTATGCTGTAAGCTGCGCTCCTGTTGGTAAAGTGTTCCTGAGTTCACAGAAGTGTCACGTGCTCGTCATATAATACAAGCCGCTAGAAATCAGGGGCTTCTATGGGGTCCCCAGTTTTACTAGCCAGTCTCTCAGTGCTCTGTGATTCCTATCAGCAAAGATTCATTTGACCTGTTTTATTTAAAACATTTTTTAAATTGTGTATGCACTACATGTGCGTGTGCACACACATTCATGTGTGAGGGCATATGTGTGTACACAGGGCACACGCTTATGCGGGGCAAAGCTGACATTTGGGGCTTTCCTCAACTGCCCTCACTTTATCTATTGAGGTAGGGTCTGTCTCAGAGCCCCGAGTGCACCGCTTTTACAGAGTTTAGCTAGCCAGCTTGCCCTGCAGATCCCGCCTCTGCTACCCGAGTGCTGGGATCAGAGGCAGCCACCTTGCCTGCCCGGCTCTTCACCTGGGTGTGGGGATCTGAACTTCCATCCTCACGGTTCCACGGCAAATCCTTTACCACCGAGCACATCCCCAGTCTTTGTTTCTGGTCTTATTTTTTTTACTTGAATGCTATTGAATGAATTAGCCCATAATGCATTCATATTAATTTATTATTAATAGCTATTTGGCTTTTTCTCCCTGTTGGATTTGGGGCCACAGTCAGCCTACATCTTCCTTGGCACTAGAGAAACCGAACAATATAAAAAAGGCCAAATTCGATTCTCCGTGGCTCTCACCCCACCGTGTGCCGCAGCCTCTGTGGTCAGGTGCTCAGGGCAGGCTGGCAGAGGGGAGGGAGACAGCCAAATGGAGTCAGGGAACACCTAGAGCTGTGTCAGGCCTGACACCAGCGGTGCTCCTGACAGCCTGTGTCCCATGGGACCCAGCATGAGGAAGGTGGCTTTAGCCAGCATTCTAGGGTTCTTGGGGACAAAAGATGCTGAAAGTCACCTAAACCTCACTAGGCCAGATGTTAAACTTCCAGGTCCACTCACTTTCGTGGCTGTAAGTCAATGGACCTTGAGTTCATGTGTGACTTTGGCATAGAACCCTTTCTCCGCCTCAGTTTCCCCTCTCTGAACCTCAACTCTGAAGACCTCAGTTCTGACCCAAACTGTGCTCACCCTACTGATGGGGATTCCTCTAGGGATGAGTCATGGGGTGGAGGGCACACTCAGGCCACCCTCTCCCAGAAGCCACCTCCCCTCCCCCCAGGCAAGAAGGGCTGTGTCATCATGGATCACATTCTTAAGCTTCTTCTGGAGGAATCGCACCCTTGCTCACATCTCCTGGGATGTGGTGGCCTGTGCGGGTGTTGTCTTTTAATTTGGGGTCTGGAGCCCGCTGAGGACTGGACCAGCAATTATGTGTGCAGAGCCGTTTATGGAAACGCCCTGTGAAGAAAGTCAGTGCGGAGACTCAGCTGAAAATACCCGGGAGTGAGCCTGGGCCTTGCCACAGTGCTGAGGCTCCTGGTGGGAGAAATTCCCTCAGGTGCAGAATGCACAGGTCACTAACCCCAGGCCCCACCCTCCTCTGAGGTCCTGCAGGAGCCCAGGAGCCCAGAGTCTTGTAAGTCTGGTGTGGGCCCCTCAGCCTTTGGTACCAACCGCATAGGGCAGTCATGTCCAGCCCCTCCTCCTCAGGGCCTGGAAACCTGTCCCCACTTTTAAAAGCCCCACCAGGAAAGGAAGAAAATCTCACAGCAAGTGCAGACATCAGTGACCTCTGCTGGAAGCTCCCTGTGACATGGTTGTCACTCAGACCAGCGGCAGACCCCAGCCTCAGGAGCTGTGAGTGATGGGCACTGAGCCAGTGTCCTGGGGAAGAACAGAAGTCCGCTCTCTCTGTCCTCTGAACAGGCTGCCATCCATCCACCAGCCATGTGCAGCTCCTGCCCTAAAGAGCTCACTATCTAGAGGGGACACAACCCGCTGGCACAAGGGCAGGGGACAGACCCAGAGCCTGGCCACACTCCACCACTGAGGGAAGTCAGCGAAGCAAATCAAGTAATGAGTAACCTGGAGCCAGGAACCGCAGGGGAGATCGCAGAGGAGCGCTGCTCACTGGCTTGCTCAGCTTGCTTGCTTTCACAGCTTGGGACTACCCGCCAAGGGGCGGGACTACCCACCAAGGGGCGGCACCACCCACAGTGGGTTGGCTCCTTCCATATCAATCATTGATCAATACAATACCCTACTGGCTTTCCTACAGCACGTCTCAGTTGTGGTTCCCTCTTCTCAGATAACTGCAACTTGTATCAAAGTGACGTAAAACCAGCCAGCACAGGGACCCGTGGAACCAAATATAGCTTTCTGTGTGCCTGGGGCATTCCTTTTTGCAATATCTTCCCATGGTTTTGCCAAGCATGTGTGGGATTCTTGCACAGAAATGGTCAATTCGCTCAGCTTCGCAAAATGCTGTGTGCATAGCATTGCTATCCGTACTGCAGGTCCTGTCTGACTTTACCTGTTAGGTTCTCAAAGGTTGTACTGACCCTACGGAAAGCATTCAACCCTCTCCTCCATAGTTCTTGAACCCACGACCCCTTCTATTTTTTAATACCAACTACAAACAAACGATATTCCCTAATTGGCTTTGGCTTTTTTTTTTTTTTTTGGTTGGTGGGTAATGGTGGGAGATCAAATCCTGCACCTCCCACGTCTCCCACATTTACAAGGTTTTTTTTAAATCATCTCATTGTATCTCTCCTCCTCCTCTTCTTCTTGAGACAGGGTCTCACTATGTAGCCCAGGCGGTCCTGTAATTCACTCTGTAGACGAGTCTGACTTGAACTCACAGAGATCCACCTGCCTCCGCTTCCCGAGTGCTGCGATTAGAGGAGTGTGCCACCATCTGGTCCTCTCTTGTTTGCCAAACCTCACTAGGGCTGAGTTTAACTGTCTGTTCACTTAGATGTTCCCGCCACCTATGGCAGCTGTGCAGAAATGAGCAGAGAACTACATCTGTCAGAGAAAGACACCAAACAAACCTTGCTCTGATTGTAAAACTTCAAAGACACGCTAAGGTGTTGTGGGACTCTATCCTTCCTATCCTGGTCTGGGGCTGCATGTATAGAGGTAAACCTGTCACGCAGCCCACCCCAGCCCTGCTGTGTGTCAGCCACTGCAGGGTTGGGTCCTCACAGAAAGGCAGGAAGTTGTCCTCAGATTTGCTCTGATAGTTCAACCTGGTGCTTTGCAGAACCTGGCTTGCAGTCAGCAAGCCTGTGGGTCACAGAGTCAATGACTTGGAAACACATAATTAAAATCTGTTAGGTTTGGGGAATACGCTGGGCTGCTTCAACTCCTGCTTACTGGAAACACAGATTTTTGGCATTTGGGAGTGAAAGGAGGGGCCAGGTGGTGGCATACTTTTTCAATCCTAGCACTTGGGAGGCAGAGGCAGGTGGATCTCTGTGAGTTCTAGGCCAGCCTGGTCTACAGAGGGAGTTCCAGTATAGAAAGGGTTACACGGAGAAACCCTATCCTGAAAAACGAAAGAAAGAAAGAAAGAAAGAAAGAAAGAAAGAAAGAAAGAAAGAAGGAAGGAAGAAAGGAGGAAGGAAGAAAGGAAGGAAGGAAGAAAAAGAAAGAGAAGAAAGGAGGAAGGAAGGAAGGAAGGAAGGAAGAGAGAGAGAAAGAAAGAAAGAAAGAAAGAAAGAAAGAAAGAAAGAGGGAGGGAGGGAGGGAGGGAGGGAGGGAGGGAGGATGTGAAAGGAAACTCCCCTGAATATTCTTCCCTGGGCATCTCTGTGCTGCTGGGCAAATGTGGGATATGTTCTTCAGATCTGGTCTCTGCCCTGTTGGCTGTACCCACCCTGGGGCCTCACCTCAGCTGTTACCCCCATCCTATCCTCCCTTTGCATTCGTGGGGACTTGTACTTGGTCTCAGACTATGTGGCCCCCACTGGTCAGAGACCAGAATTGTTCCTAGCCCCGAGTTCCAGCTTACTGCAGATGTGCTTTGCTTAACTCATGGCTTCACTCCACAATAAGTCTGCGGGCAGCAGCCCCTCCCCAGTGTGCCCCATCTCTCCTCTGCGCCACCTGCTCCCCATCCTCTGAGGCCTGTTTATATAGCTCAGGCCTTCCAAGAAGCCTGTTGAGATCTCAAAACGCAGTGGGGCAGACTTCTCCAGCAGTCGAGGGCCTGTCCAGGAGTTTCTCATCCTACTTTGGATTTTTATTACTTTCTACTTCTCTTCTTCCACTTTTCTTCTGTACCCTAGAGGGGACATGGGTCCTTTGTCCCCTGGTTGCTGGCACTGGGTCCCTTTCTTAAGGCCCTTCTGCTGCTGGCCTTGTAATGTGGCCTGCACTCTGCACATCCCACTCCCAGGACACCCAGGAAGTTCAAACACAGAACTAACAGCTCAGCTCAGCTGTCAGATCTGAGCTCCCCCCCCCCCCCATCCCACCTTCTCCTCAAGGGCAGGTGCTGGGAGTCCTCTGTCCCACTGAAATTCAGCCAGTTACATCCTTGTAGACAAGGTTTTCCCCTGGAACTGTGCTAATTTTCTGCCTTGGGACCAATGTATATCTCGCTGTTGGCCTAGCAGCTCTAAGAGGAGGCATCGTGATTCATCAATGGGACCAGGACCCTGCTGAACACTTGCTGAGTTTCCCACTACACCACCTCCTGTGTTCCCAGAGCAGATCACAAGCTGTGTGTATAGCAGGAGCGGGCCCCCAACCCAGGAACCACAGGGAGCCCTACTCTGAGCACAAGCCATCCTGGCTCCCAATAATGACCCCACTCCCTCTTTCTCTTCCAGTGGAGCGCGACCGTACCCTGGACTACCAGGAGCCGCACTGGAAGGAATTCCGCTTTGACCTAACCCAGATCCCTGCTGGGGAGGTTGTCACAGCTGCTGAGTTCCGGATATATAAAGAGCCCAGCACCCACCCGCTCAACACAACCCTCCATGTCAGTATGTTCGAGGTGGTCCAGGAGCACTCCAACAGGTATCTTCCCTCTGCTCAGGTACCCACCCCACTCATGGTCTCATGGTCTAGGCTCTGGCAGGGCCTGACCGAGGATGCATTTCCCAGAAAGGAGAGGCACCTCAGACACGAGAAAGGGGTTTGGCCTGGAACCTTCTGCGCTGCCACGATGACTGTAAAGCCCTAATAGGCCACAGCGGAGCCAGTGTCCCATCAGCGCATGGACACAGTAAAATGTCCAGGGTTGGTTATCAGTGAATTGTGGTACCAGAGGAGGCCAGCCCAGAGCCGAGCAGGGAAGAGGCTCTGAAAGTGGTCCCCCAGGCAGGCACAAGATACAGGCAGGCGTGCGACCTCGGCCCTTGGTTAATTGTTCTTTCATGTCCACAGGGAGTCTGACTTGTTCTTTTTGGATCTTCAGACGCTCCGATCTGGGGACGAGGGCTGGCTGGTGCTGGACATCACGGCAGCCAGTGACCGCTGGTTGCTGAACCACAAGAAGGACCTGGGACTCCGCCTCTATGTGGAAACCGAGGATGGTGAGGCTCCCAGGCTTAGCAGGGAGCTGCCCTGGGGGTCCTGGGAGGTGGTTCCACCCCAGGCTGCCAGCCTAATACACGGAGCCCTCTCACTGGGCCACACTTGGCCTTTCTTGAGGACTCAGTGGGTAGTGGTGAGGTCCTGGACATGGGGAGGCCCCAGCCAGGGAGGGCTGCTTTCCTGACATTCCTAATAGCAACTGACCTCCCAAGAGCCAGCTCCGGCATCCAATGGGGGGGTACTTCTTCATGGGCAGCAGACCTCCACTCTGAGAGGTTCTGTACTAGGAAGGAGGGGTGGGGGACCTGCAGTGTTGTAGCTCAGTACCCGAGCCTCAGTTTCCCCGTCTACACAGGTTTACAGCCGCTGCTTCACTCTCGGGGTTTTCATGCCCTTTATGTGGGGCAGTGAGGCAGAAAGGACAGCAGGGCAGGAGGCTGGCCTGTCTGGGGTCCAGCAAAAGGCTGGAGGGATAGCTTGGAAGGAGAGGGGCAGAGCGGTGGCAGGGGTCACTCTGAGTTAGGGAAGGCTGGCAAGGTACTTGGAAAGTTTCGAGCAGTTGTTTAACAGCAGCGGGGGACAGATGTGATTGTGGCTTTAAAAGACCCAGCTAATTCAGCCCCTTGAGGAATCCTAACCCCGCCCCCAGGTGAGCTTTCCAGGGTACTACGTGGGGGGGGGGGGCGGACTGGACTCAGCACTGGCAGTCAGCTGTCAACAGCATTACTTCGAGTGTCTGTCCAAGATGTTGTGAGACAGGTCAGGCGACAGGGATGGCCAAGGGTGTGCTCAGGCAGAGTGTGACCCATGCCGATCCCAGTGAGTGTCCTCCCAGCTCTGTGACGCAGCACGGTGGTGGCATGGGGCAGCTCACAGGCCTTTTCCGCTCTGTCCGGGTCTTGGGAGCCTCGTGGCCTGTGGGCGATGGCGGCGCTGAGGCTTTTGGCGTGGGCACTCCCGCGCGGGGTCTCCATCTGCCGCCAACCGCCCGCGCTGCCCCACCGCCTTGTCCTCCGCTTTGCTAGCGACCGCTACGGACGGGTCCACTTCTACACGGACCCTGTGAAGGCGGTGGAGGGCGTCAAGGAGGGGCCACCGTCATGCTCGGAGGCTTCGGGCTCTGTGGCATCCCCGAGAACCTCATCGGCGCGCTGAAGACCAAGGGCGTGAAGGACCTGAAGATCGTCAGCACCAACGTGGGCTTGGCGGATTTCGGCCTGGGCATCTTGCTGGTCTCCAAGCAGGTCAGGCGCGTGGTGTGTTCGTACCTGGGGGAGAACGCGCTGTGCGAGAAGTTGTACCTGGCGGGCGAGCTGGATCTGGAGATGACGCCGCAGGGCACCCTGGCCGAGCGCATCCGCGCAGGAGGCGCGGGCTTGCCCGCTTTCTACACGCCTACGGGCTACGGCACGCTGGTGCAGGAAGGGGGCGCCCCGATCCGGTACGCGCCAGATGGCCACCTGGTCACCCTGAGCCAGCCGCGGGAGGTGCGCGAGTTCAATGGCCGCCACTACCTGCTGGAGCACGCCATCCTCGCCGACTTCGCCCTGGTCAAGGGCTGGAAAGCCGACCGTTCGGGCAACGTGATCTTCCGGGGCAGCGCGCGTAACTTCAATGTTCCCATGTGCAAGGCCGCGGACATCTCTGTGGTGGAGGTGGAGGAGATCGTGGACGTGGGCACTTTCCGCCCAGAGGACATCCACATCCCCAACATCTACGTAGACCGTGTGATCAAGGGAGCTAAGTACGAGAAGCGCATCGAGCGCTTGACCACGTGCGACAGCCAGCCCGCAGCCGCGAGCAAGCAACAGGACTCCATCAGGACGCGCATTATCAAGCGTGCGGCTCTCGAGTTCGAGGATGGCATGTATGCCAATCTGGGCATCGGGATCCCTGTCTTGGCCAGCAACTTCATTAACCCCAAGATGAAAGTCTACCTTCATAGTGAAAACGGGATCCTGGGCTTGGGCCCGTTCCCCTTGAAAAATAAGGTGGATGCCGACATCATCAACGCGGGCAAGCAGACTGTGACCGTGATCCCCGAGGGCAGTTTCTTCGCCAGCGATGACTCTTTTGCCATGATCCGCGGAGGGCACATCCAGCTGACCATGCTCGGTGCCATGCAGGTTTCCAAATACGGTGACCTGGCCAACTGGATGGTGCCAGGCAAGAAAGTGAAGGGCATGGGCGGAGCCATGGACTTGGTGTCGGGTAACACCAAAGTGGTGGTCACCATGGAACACTGCACCAAGAAAAAGGAACCCAAGATCTTGGACAAATGCACCATGCCGCTGACGGGCAAACGCTGCGTGGACCTCATCATCACCGAGAAGGCCGTGTTTAAGGTGGACCCAAAGAAGGGGCTGACGCTGGTGGAGCTGTGGGAGGTCACGTCGATGGATGACCTCAAGGCCACCACAGCCTGCTTCTTTAAGGTGTGCCCCAACCTCAAGCCCATGCAGCAGATCAAACCTGATGCTTGAGGAGCCCTGACCCCTCCTTCCAGGGCTGGTTTGCTAAGGAGTTAGCGTCCACGGGGACATGTGACCTGTGTGCCACTGGCTCCTCAGTCTTCCTGCTGCCGGATGGTATCTTCTCAAGAGCCGAGTGATTTTAATTAAAAATCCTAAGCCGAGCCTGTGTGTCTGGTGCCTAACTAAAGCCCTTCGCCAAAACCATCGAGGAGACTGGTCCACCTCTCCCAGTTCCTGTGACCTTCGCATACAAGGCTCCAGAGCATCCCCGACAGGTCTTGAGACCAGCGCTGCTCCTCATAACTGAATCACGAACCGTAGAGAAAGCAAAGGGCGGGAAGGAATCCAGAGTTCACCTGGTGCCACGAAATGCAGAACTAGGGGTCTGCGAGCAGGAGGAGCTCTGGCTTCTCTTCCTGGGCCCTTGTTTCTACTCCTAATTTTGTTACCCCGAATATGGCCTTCAACCTCCTTCCTCCTGGGAGCTGCTTATGTGTCCCTAGAAGGGAGGCAGGCCTGTAGCCTGTGGCCTGTGGGATGAGACAGAGGGAAGCTGGTTGGTGCTGTTTCTCCGCCTGCAAAACCCACTGTGCATAAACAGTGTTCTGCATGTCTCCAAAGAGGCCCACGCTTAGCACATGGATGAATTCTTACCTAGTGAACTGCAGTGTCTCCTGTTGCCCCTACCACACTGACATTCTGTCTGGGAAGTCCTCTGGCCTCCCTTCCTAACTCCAATATGGCATCTTGGGGTCTGTTATTCTGAATCTGTAATCTCACAGTGAAAGTGAAAAAAGTTACATAGGTGTGTGTGTGTGTGTGTGTGTGTGTGTGTGCTCTGAGAAAGCATCCCCCCCCCCATTCCTTTCTGTCCAGAGCTGGGAAGCCTGGTGGCCTTTGGCCAGATAGAGTTCTGTCTGATGATGGGGATCGAGGAGCAGAGCTGATAGGGAAGGTGCTCTCCGATTCGGGCGAGGAACACCTTCTCTGTGCGCATCAAATACAGAACTCTAAAAAGAGCAGCCGCAGTTCCTGTGGGCTTCTGCCCTGCCTCACTCGGTCTCTGCCTTGTGCTGGGCGGGGTAGGAGTTGCTTGGCTCTGCAGCTGCTTGCTCCAGGCCTTGAAGAGTTGATGCCCTCTCTGGGTCTTAGTTTGTGTGCCTCTAAAATGGGAACCTTGGCTTAGCTGCATCCATGGGCTCCCAGTACAGCTAACCTTGCCTTGGGAGCCCCCAGAGGTCCCCAGCACCCATCCAAGCTATCTTTGAGGAATTCACCCAAGGACTGCTCTGTGTCCAGCAGAGCCTAGAAAACCAGTTACATAAGAGAAAAGCAAAGGTGGCTGAGTCTGGAACACTGATGGCCTCTGTGTTCCGCAGAAACCAGGCCTCAGGGACTCCACAGTAAGAAGCAGGGACACAGGCCCTGTCCTGGGCCCAAGCCTGCCCTTTCTGTCATTCACAGGGCCTGACACTGTGGGTCCTTCCAGCTCCCAGCTGCTCTGCCGTACCCATGTGTGGCCCCGGGGCCCTGGCTGTCTTTCCCTCTGCCTGAGGCTCTGCCTTCTCACACCACCTGCTTCCCACCAGCCTCACTCTGGACCCCATTCCTCCTGCCTGACCTCACCTGAGTCTCTTCCAGGGCCACGCCTGCAGCCCACGCCCCTTGTCCCCTTGTCCCCTAGCCCTCAGCCACTGTCCTGCGATGGAGTCTCAGGCCTCGCACTTTAGTTAGTAGCAGGTGAAGTCATAGGTCAAAGGTTGCATTGATGAGCTTTCCTTTCAAGTGGCAGGTGGACATCTGGAATCCGGTCCAGATGTGGAGTGTGGAGTCCAGCTGCCTGAAGGGCTGACCTTTGAGTGGACTGTCCACCACAGTGGCCTTGACTCAGTGTGTGACGAAGAGCCTGGTAGAGTGCAAATGGAGCACACAGACCTGAGTGTGCATGCACGTATGAGTGTGTTCTGTTTCGTTACAGTTTGTGTTGGGATTATACCTAAGGCTTCATGCTTACCAGACAAGGCTGCACTCCTGAGCTGTGGCTCAGCCCTTTGGGCTCTTTTACCTTCTTCCAGGGTTGGGGTAGAACCTAGGATTCTGAGAACACTGAGTCACATTAGTGTCTGTAAATATACATGCATGTACATGTGTGCATCAGTGCTTGTGACATGTCAACTGAACAATGGAGCTGTGTTTAGTGATGGATAACATGAGCATTGTCGGGCTTTGGTGTAGGAATCTCACAGGGCACCAAAGGGAATGGTTCTGAGCCCTGTCATGGCACCAGAAGGGATCCTGACTGACTGCTGCTGGGAGGTAAACCCACCCGAGCTGCTGCGTGGGGGCCATTACTGTGCAGAACGATTGTTAGTTGTTATACTGTTAGAGTTATTGATTGGCTTCTCAGGACTTTCTATCATTCTTGTTTTGTTTTTGAAAATTATTTTATGTTATGGGTATGGGCATTTGGCCTGCATTCACAGATACGTGCATCCCATACATGCCTGGTGCGATGGACCCCCTGGAACCAGATCCATCTGCACAGTTGCGAGCTGCCTGCCATGTGGGTGCTGGGAATTGAACCCAAGTCCTCTAGATGAGCAGCCAGTGCTCTTAACCACTGAGCCGTCTCTCCAACCCTTTGTAATTTATTCTTTGAAAAGTTCATACATGATTACAATTTGTTTTGATCATATCCTCCCACCACGACCTACTTTTTGTTTTTTCAAGACAGGGTTTCTCTCTATAACAGCTCTATCATGGAACTCGCTTTGTCGAGCAGGCTAGCCTCTAAGTCACAGAGATCCACCTGCCTCTGTCTACCAAGTGCTGGATTAAAGGTGTGCACCTTTACCCAGCCACTATCTAGTTCTAATTTCTCGAGTGCCTCCCTGTCTGTTCCCCAACCTCATGGTCTCCTCTTTCTGTTGCTATGGATAACCCAGGCCCTGTTGCTGCTGCCCACCCACCCATGGGTGTGGGGCCGTCCTCTGCAGTGCAGGCAGCCTACCAGGAGCCACGGCTATTTGGTTTTTTGTTTTGAAAAACAGGCTTTCATGTAGCCCCCGCTGGCTGCCAGCTCAGTGTATGACAGAGGATAACCTTGGACCCCTCTGCTTCCTGCCTCTCCCTTCTAAGTGTTCACAGACTTCACCATGCCAGCTTACTAGAGTGCTTCTGCAGTTAGAAAGGACAGGGTCACTGTCGGGACCACCTGCAAAGTCTGAGCTGGTGCTGGAGGCTTTGCTCTCCTGGGTTGACTGTACTGTGGAGGCACCTGCAGTCCTTAGTGGCTCAGGGGACCCCCCCCCCCCATAGGCTCCACTCTTCCCATGGACAAGCACTAGTCTGGCTCCCTCAAGCCCCTCCCTTTCTTTGAAGCCATCGGCTGGCCTGGTGAACACAACACCAGCCCTGGATTGAGCCTGATGTGAACTGGACCCAGGACTTTGTGATTGTTCTGACCTCTGGCCCTGCTTAGTCTGGGATCAGGGTCATGGGCATCAGTGGGCATCAGGGTAGTGGCTGTCCTGCCCTTGGATGATCAAGCTTGCCGGGCTGGGAGGATAAGCCCTAGCAATGTCCTTGCGGAGGCAGCCATGAGCTGGTGGGTCATGAACTCCACGTTCTAGTCCCCAGAAAGTGCAGGATGAAGATGGGACCGGGTGTTAGATCACTGGACCAAGGGAGTCCGGGTCCTGAGCATCACCAGCAGAGGACTCTGCTCATCTCTGAGCGACTGTGACTTGGGGTACAGTGACGACCGCCTGAGGAAATGTTTCTCGTCTATATCAGGTTATGTCTGTGGCTGCTGAGGTCCCTGTCCCTGCCACCTCAGGCCCAAGTGCTTGGGTTGGACTCAAGATGAGAAAATAGGTTCATAGATGCCACACCACCATCCACAAGTCAGTCAGTTTCTCTCTCTTTCCTCTCTCTCTCTCTCTCTCTCTCTCTCTCTCTCTCTCTCT